CCAGAGCTTCACGGCGATCAGGGTCGCTAGGAGTTCTAGCGCCGCAATAACTTTATTGGGGATTTGGAGAATGCCCAAGGGGCCCACGACCTATCGACTTCCAGCAAGAACCACGGCCCCTGGCAGCCAGGGACGATCTCCAGGAATGCCCGGCCATCTTCGGCCTTAGCGTCCGGAAGAAGGACAAGCCTAGGCAGAGGGTGGTCTCGACGGCCGTTGCAGCCGGTCACCCCCCTCCAACCTATCTGACAGGATGCCGGTTTTGGGTTTGGCGTGGACGAGGAACAGGAAGTTCTACTTCGTCAGCTCAGTATGGTCGATAATGGCCAAATGAAGTTACAGATGTTAAAAGGTTGCAATCTGGAGGACGAGGCATGGCCGCAACTGCTACGTCGCATTATGTCAATCGCAGATGTGGGAGAACCTGGCCAATACCCACCATCAAGCGCGGCAGTTGCGCCCAATCCGGGGTCCAGAAGTAATTCTGGACAGGATGTTAGTCTGAGAAGTGGTATGTGCACACCCTTCTCAGGGGGTCAGTATGTTAGGGTAGGAGAAACTGCAATTGAGGGTAATAGGGGTTTTGTGGGTAATGCAAGCCCTAACCCATCCAGTAATCCCGTGCAATCCCTATGCCCGTCACAAGAGCAAGACATGGCCGGGAAGGCGTCTGAATTGGGTCAGAGTAGTAGTATTCCCGCTGTGAGTCATATGCCTCACGGTAGCGTAAACGTGCCTGAGTCTCTTTTTTGTAATCAGGTGCGAGAGTCCGCAAGTCCCACCTGGCCTGCAAGTGAATCTGCGAGTAGACACCGGGTTGATCAGGTTGAAGATCAGGCAGGGACGCGTGGCATGGTGAATCCTGAGGAGTTCGATTTATGGACTCAAATTAGAGCAGGTTAAGGCTCAGTGGAATCGTTTAGGGCTTTACATTTCCAACACTTGCAAGCAAAGCTGTGTAAGAATGAGTTGGAGACTCAAGCTCTTAAAGGGCGCTTCAGTTTCAGTTAAACCCCCCAATGACTGGCGTCCTAAGTAGGGGAAATTCCTAGTCCACTGCGTCCATCAGTAATATCCAATCAGGCAGTAAAGAGAGAGCCCTTTCTGCCACCTGGACTGGCAAGGGGTCGCGCGCGTAGACGGCTAGTAGTTATCCTTCTCCATATCCTCGGACAAACCCAAGGACATGGTGCGTTGCGTCTTCCAGGACGAAGATACACCTTCGAGCATCCTCGGGACCATCAACTCCACCGGAGGAAGAGGAGATTGTTACTAAAAGTGAAACCCCAACGCCAGGAGTTGAAGAAAGTAGTGACCTTGTAGCTGTCGCTGCCAAGGGAGAGGAGCCTTTGAGACCTTCAGCAAACAGCAGTACTGTGCTTCAAGAAAGTACTACAGAGCAGTCTGTTGATCGGTCAGGCCTAGCCACTGTGCAACAACTCCACCGGTAAGTGATATTAAGCCTGTGATCAGGCTGGATCCTGCCGTCTTGCAAGGAGTGCAGGAGGAGTCAGTTAAGGTTCCCGCTCAGAGGCGTCCTTTTGTCCGAGAAGCAATTCGAAGAGCAGAGCACCAGCGTGAGAGTCCACGGTGTTGAACTACATTACGGATCAGATCCTAACCCTTTGCCTTCAGCCACCTTGCGCCGGCCTTGTCGCCGCTTGTCGCCGCCCACAAAACGACTTGGGGGCAAGGTCCGCTGGTCAGGCTGGCCTCATTGGGGAGGCCTCCCACCCAGGCCCCGCGTCTGAACGTGAGCGTTCTCCTCCAACCAGCAGCGCGTCCTGCCAGAGTGCATTGCCCAGTCATCGGCTGTCCGAGCTCTTGTCAAACAACTTTTCCAGGTTGGTCTACGGGGGCCGTGCCTGCCGACCCCATTCCTGGCCAGGCGCAACCGCTGAACACGCCTGATCTTGCTGCAGTGTTCTCTGCTGACCGCCTTCGCCATGTCCCCAAAGCGGCCCGCCGTGCCTGGGGGCAATGCCTTGCCCGGGCCCTTGCTGCAGTTGCCGCCTCCAACTCCACCGCAATGTATGGAGCCCGAGCTGTGCATTCCGCGCAAAGCATCCCCATGCACAGCCCGCCAGGCCTAGCCTCGTGCAGCTGGGCCCGCCGACGTGGTTGCTAGTGTCTTCCGACGTAGCAGCGCTCCTGGGCTCCGGCCTTCGGGGCGATCTTTTAGTTGTGCAGTTGCTTGTGCGAGGGCAGGCGCCTCTTTGACCGGGGCTTCCCTGCATTGCCTGCCCAAATCGGCGTGTGATGTCCGGCCCATCGCTGTTGGCGAGCTCCAAATGCTGCTGTGAGGGATGCAGCTCGTGAGTACCTCGCCTGACTGCAGCTTGGCACTGTTTCAAGGCGACCCGCTTAGGTCTGAAGCTGGGGTGCAACAGGGTGACCTTTAGGGGCCTTGCACTTGCCCTTCGCGAGCTGCCCGCATTGTGCCGGAATCTCAGCAACCAGACCTTGGCCGCCTTCAGCTGCCGGCCAGCAAGTTGGCCTGGCATGAACCTCCAAGTGTGACCCCCCATCTCTTTCCTGAAAAAGTGGTGGTAAAGTGCAGGGGTGCCTTCACACTCCTTGGCGCTGTTGGTAAAGCGAGTCACCGCCAACAAGCTGCTGCTGCAGGCCATCGCTGCCCTGCCCGACCCGCGCAGCCCTACTCTTGTTGCGGGTGCCTCCTTCGGCCGTGTCCTGTGCAGAGGCTCCGTTGCCATTGACGCCCCGTTCCTGCCAACCCAACCTGAAGGCATTGGACTGGCCACGCTGAAGCAGCTTGACTCTGTCGGCGAAGCAGGGGGGCCTGGGGCCCCGCAGCCATGACGAGCTCGCGCAGGCTCTTGAAGCGAAAAGCGGGGATGGTGCTGCAGCTTGAAAACGCACGTGTGGGCGGGGTTTAGAGTCCCTCGAGCCCTGACCGGCAATTACGGATATAAGTGTAACTATCGCCATCCTGAAAGCGCAGCGCTGCCTGGATGGAAATACAAAGAACTAAATCCAAACGGAGATGTGCGTGGGATTCCTACCACTTAAGGGACGAAAGATGTGCGAGCACGATCGAGATGGGACTTGCCGTTACGGTGATAGTTGTCGACGCGCGCTATGCACACGCCTGGAGTTTAGACGAGTCCAAGCCTCACATGCCTGAAACCAAGTCGTCAGGCGCTCCTTTGTCTCAGCCTAACAGTCAGCCGAGTTCTCAGGCTGAGTCCTCAACTGCCGAGCAGGCAGTACGAAGTAAATCACAACCTTCCTTCATTCAAGTGGTAGCTCAAAGGTTAAGCGTTAGAGAGTGCGCAAGGTTGATTGCAGCGTGCTGGTTACCTGATGTGAAGTACCGTAAGGTTCCCGATGTAAACCCCCCAGGTACGCATATGCCCAGTGCATCATTGGCTAGCGTTCATGCTGCCACCGAAAAAGGAAGCGCTCCACCTCCATGACCAATCAATCTCAAAGTGAAACCAAGGTTTATCCTTTCTCCCCATGCCAACAGGTTGTTACCCCTAGTGATCAGTCGGGGTCTAGTAATAGTCCGCCTAAGCAGACTAGCTCGGTCCGTAATTCCTGGGCGGACATGTCGGAGCATGAGTCAGCTTTGGTCAGTGGTTCCCAAGGCAAAGTAAGAAGACCTTTGTCTCCACTGTCCTCCCCACTGCTTTTTAGGAATTGGGGCAGCTGTACGTTGGGAACAAAGAGCCGAGCAAGCCAGGCAACTGTTGTTGGCGGCCTTGGAACGATTGGCCTTCGTTCAACCAGATGAATTGGCGTTGGCTATTCCAAAGGAGTCTTCAGTAGCTACGTGGTTTGTACATGGTAATATCCTCGTTACGTTCTGCAAGATGCAGAGCGGGGGGAGTGCTGCAGTACAGGTGATGTTCTGTACAGGCTTCGCAGCCATTTGAGCTTCACAGTAGACAGCTCATGTGTATCGCAGATTATGCAGCAGAATAGTTGTAGCATTCCAGTTGTAAAGTTATAGGTCTTTGTTTTGGACCCTTCTTTGCCGCTTGTGGTGGTAAAACGTGACTTTAGTCTAGCGCGCCCTGCCATTGCACCTGCGCCAGCAAGTAGGGTTGGTTCTGTTCTTCAAAAAAAAGTCTCTAAATGTAGTCCCGTATCCCCGCACGAAAAGCCACCTAATTGTAACTAGCCCCCGGACGCGAATGACCCCAAAAAAATTCTTCAAATGTGGACCCTTTAATAAAACAAGTGCTCGGAGTACTTCGAGCTTGAGTGAATATATGGCACTGAGGAATCGGTCTGATCAGCTTGACAGGCAGACATGTCTTGGATCGCGTGCGCAGAGTGTCGCAGCAATCGGCTCCTGGGATTGCAGGCATAAATCTTAGCTGTGCGCGGTGTTCGCTGTTTTTGCATGGCCGTGTGGTAGCCCACAATATGCAGCAGTCCATGGATGAGGCGGCGCCCCGTCCGGCTACAGACGCTCCAGGCGGAGCAGCAGCAACAGATGATGGCAGCAACTGGGGGCAATTGGTCTTGGGGCTGGCAAGCGTGGTCATGGGGTGATCGATCGAGTTGTTATCAGTGTCAGGGCAGTGAGGGGAACGATCCGTGCTGGCCGGGCAAGCGGCTCGGGACCGAGAAGTGACAACGGGGCAACGGTCCACGGCAACGAGTGGCCAGGCGACGGGAAGAAGGACATCCACCTCTACAGATGCGGAGCCAGCATCTCAACCGCCGCACGGGCCGACGACGATGACAGCCAGACAATGTCCGCTAAGACTCAGACGCAGATGCCTTGCGCCGGCAAGGAGGTGATTCCGGAGTACGCTGGACCGACTCCACTGCGAGACTATGAATGTCGAGTGGAATTTTTGTCGAGCTGGCGACTGGCGTCGACAAGGAGTTCGGGCACAGCGTCTTGTGGAGCGGCTGACGGGAGATGCTTGGCTGGCGATGGAGACAGCCGACCGACCTTCAAGCCCTTAAGTCTTAGGAGGGCATACAACTGCTTATCCAACACCTGTATCAAGAACTGGAACCTTTGGAATATCCAAAGACCGAAGGTTGCGAGGCCAGGAGTTGCAGAAGCGCGAAGAGATCGGAGCAGGGATCTCAGGGACGACGAAGGCTTATTGGTGCGTGGAAAACGCCGGCATTTCCAGCAACTTGCGTAAACAAGTCTGGAAGCAAAAAGGCCTCTTCCACTGCGCGTCGCGGACATGTTGTAGATGAGTATTCTGGTCCCGAGGCGGAAGAGGAGACGGCAGACTGCGCTGTGCGTTGGGAAGCCAAGCTGGAAGTTTTGCTGACGCAGGCTCAGGCTGCGAAGAACTGCGCCCAAGTCGAGAAGGCCAGGGGCTTCTCGAGAATGGAGAGGCCCGAGACAAGCGCGTCTGCGAGATGAAATCTTGGATGCCATGCAATGCGTGCAAGGCCAGAAATTGACACGGGGATGCGGAGTGTCCGTGCCACAACGCTGCTTCCACTGGATCCGGAGCGAACAACGGAGGCCGGAAGGACAAGTCCATTTTGGTGGCAGTGACGGAAGATCCGTTGAGTGACACAGAGATCCCGACGTGGAGGTATAGGACATCAAGTTTTCGCCATAGCCCTGTTTACTCGGCGCAGGCTGGAGGAGAGCAGCAGCGCAGGCTTCCTCTGTGCGACGCTTGCTGTGCCCGAACTGTCGTGACGTGAAACACCAAACTCAACATGAGAATTCGTCGTGGAGTTTTCGGAAAACATTGGACAACTTCACGCGCATGGTTTGCAAATCAGCGCACTTGATATGGACACCCCAAACACAATTTCAATCTCAGAGATCCGTTTTTGGGGTTGTGGCAAAGAGGAACTTTAAAGCGGGATCGCGCGCGAGTGTATGCTTATAGATCCTAGCCATCCATATCAAATATTTTTTATATTCGACTCCGGAAATATGGACATACCAATCATGTGATACCGAATTTCAAATATGGTAACTAAACAGGTTAGGAATCAACTCACAAGTGCAGTGCGACCCGCAGACTGATTGCAAGCAGAGACGTACTCATTTTTCATGCTCGCGGGCGAACCGCGAATCAGGGGAAGGATCAATCCACTGAGAGTGGTGCAAGGGCCATCAATCCACTTGGGGTGGACGCACATTCTGAACCTCAAAGGTCTCGAGTATGTGCGCTGAGCACTGGCCCGATTCCACTTGCCAGGGATCAGGCGCTCTCTAGCGGCTGGCCGGCGTAAGAGCGTAAGAAATTAAGCTCCCCCAATTTTTTTCGAAGGGGGGTCGGCGTTATTACTATTGCTTGGAGCCTTATAGAACCAAGGCAGGCAGGGATCAGCCTCGTTGGTCGTTGGCTGCCTCCAAGTGGAAGAGTCACCCATCGGCTCGCGTGCTCCGTCTGTCAACACCAAAACCGGTTGAGCAGCCGGCTGCACTGATCTCACGGGGTCTGCCTGAGAGTCTGACCCTCAGGACTGTCTAACATGACGCTCCGCCGCAGG